AATGAATTGGTGTCAGTGCACAGAAATAACAGCTAAAATCTGCAAACAGTGCAAACACTATATTCATAAATCAAAAAAAAAAATGTGTACCCCTATACAAGGTGACGAGAAATTATATAATTGGTCGGTAAACCAGGAAATTTTTTTTTAGGTGAGCGTTCGTAAAGACAGATAAAATAATCAAATCATATATTTTTAAACGGAACTTTTTAATGTAATTATTGCGGTCACCAAGCACGTCTCTTGGAGTAAATTTTAAAGCTATAAATTAGGTAGGTAGATACACAATCGTGTTTACGATAGCAATTTCGTATAACAATAATATAACTTACACCGGATACCCATTAATATTATTGCCCATCGCCTACTGAAACCGGTCGGAAAACAAAAAGTAATAATAGTATCAACTTTTATTATTCGAAATGATAAATATGATAATTTATATTATAATTATTATGGAACGTAGAGAAAATTATGTCATTTTTATATTAATCGTTCAATATAGAACGATGTACAACAATCTCGTTTTAATAATAATAAAAAAAATAATAATAACCCAACAAACTAATATTTTTTCACCTTTTTTTTACATGGGGAAATTGTGCGTGTGTAGAACACGTAGGTTGAGACGGAAAGGCGAAGATAATAAATTAATTTTTCTACCTTTGTTTTGTCTAACCCTTCCTACTCACAGACTCTAAACAAATAATGGTTTTTAAATCCTCTCACGAAATTGAATTAACGAACACTAAATTGCTTATAAAAATGGAGTTTATTATAAAATATGCCACGCGATAGTAAAGGTACGTTAAAGAAATTGAATTGTGTGACATAGATGGAAAATATCAGTAACTAATAAAATATAATTAATAACTACGATTTTCAATATATAATATTATATAATCGTAATCGATTAAAAATACCAAAAACAGCTGGGTTTTATATTGTTTGTTAAAAGAAAGTAACGGTTAACGATAACGTCAAGTAAATAAAACGTATTTTCATTGAATACAAAAAAAAATTAAACCGACGTTTTAGTATTAACTTTTATTTTTCTAGGGACACACGTAAAAAGTTGCAGGCAAGTAATAAGGAAAGAACTGACGAAAATCGTGCTTGTAAAAGATACTTGAAATGATTAACTACAAGGATACACGAGATGAAAATGTAGTTTGAGCACTATAACGGTTCACAGAAGTCAGTAAACACCAACAATTTAAAAAATATATTCGAACATTAAATCTTTGTTAACGCGTATCGTTGAAACCAATGGACTTGATGGTTCTTAAAAATGCAGGTTTGAATTCATTTCAAAAAAACGAATGACAATAGCATTTAAAATAATTGGTTCTACGCAATGTGGCACGTAATACCTACGCGTGTGAATCCCTCGACAAACGATTAAGTTGTATGTAAACAGTCAATTTAGTTTCAGTTAGCCTCAGCTACATAATATACCTAGTCATGGCAGAAACACTAGGTGCTCAAATCGAATTAATCAACCAGCATTTCTAGTTCCGGCTAGTTTCACGTGGATTTGCGGAAAAAACGAGACATCGTCAAGTAGCTTAGTTTTTTTTTTTTTATAAACCCGGCAATTATTTACACGTATCCGTGGTCCCCAATCGCGACTGATTAACTTATTTGTTTATATTATTTAGAGTGCCGCATGTGTCCTGCAGGAGACTTGCCCCCCCCCCCCAGTATATCATCTCGTAAACCAATTTAGTCTATATATTAATTGTTCTTCTTATGTTTTCTCAATATGCGTGTCCCGTGTGGGTGCCTATATAATTAGTAATTGCTATTTAGATATAGAATCATAATAATATACCTATAGGTACGTATATTACGTGATTATTATTACGTCAGACACGAAAAGCAATCGTTGCACTTTTATCATAACACACTATAGGTATTGTAGGTTTAGGACAAAGCGACACGGCGTTGCTTTCAACGCACCAAAATCATCTGCAGATATAATAAGTGTAATAACAATATTTTTCACGTCATGTGCGTGAGAGGGTGTATATATAATAATATATAATAAAAGGTTCGGTATAGGTATATATGAGCCTTAATTCCTTTAGCTCCTTCTCCGTTCTCGGACGTCCACATGCTCACAATAAAGACATTTATATCATATTAAAATTTAATTTTGCTCTATTCGTCTACGACACTGCGTGCAATTATGCGGTTAGTCATCGTTCCGACTGCAAAAATACAGTTTTCATTTTTTGCAACAAAAACGTCGAGATGTATTTCAATATATTATTAAATATAGCGTTACTTCGCTGTTGCTTAATACGAATAGATACACACAGTTGTCGTTACAACAGCGATTAGAAGGAAACTAGGTATACACAAAAACTATGATAGTATTATTGTAGCTTGGTCACTGTATTTCGTAACGAGCATACCGAAGACGGAGACAAACAATAATTTATTAATAATAATAACACAAAACTAGAATATTCCATTGTTTCGGCTTAGTGTCAACAGGTTAATAATTGCAGAATTGTAGATACACAAAAAATAACAGATGTATAAAAAGAAAGCTCTAGAAACATTTCCGATACCACACAATTTGCAATATAGAATTCTTGAGTACTTAAGTTGACATTTGTTTTTGTAGATGGAGAGAGGAAAAAGCCATAAACTATTCGAACAATAATTTATAAATTTCAATTTTACTCAGTCATTAGTAGGTACTGATAGAAAAAATGATATCAGTCACGACGAATAAGTGAATAAAACGTTCTTGATGAACGTACGTCGGAAAAGTCTCATTGTTGAAAATTTGTGACATGTAATATTATAAAATAGTTAATATAGAGCCATTATCATTGTAATTAATTATTATGAACTCAGTAGTGCCTACAGTTAGGAAATACTGAATACGAATAATATCACCAAACTTTTCTTTAATAATGTATTGAAAAGTGTATTAATTATTATTATTTATCTAGTAATTTAGTATTCCATTGTTCGATACTTTCCCTTCGTATTCCTAACGATAAAACCATAATAATATTATAGACCTATTATCTTACTTTACTTTGCACCACCATTCATTCGCTCGAGTTAAATATAAAAAAAAACACCATCTATCGTGTTACAACGTTATAATAAGTAATAACATTATACGAACAAATTTACATTTTAAAAAACTAAATGGTTTTTTTTATCTTGCTATTATTAGATTTGGTTGAAATTAATAGCGTTTTGAAATCGTGTTCGGTTTTCATCGAACAGCGTTCATCAGTTTAATTAAAAACTGCAAAAAATATCTCCAACGGAAATGTGAATACTAAATGCTAATTGTATACAATTTTAATAGTGTATTACCCAAAAATTGTAAATTGAGTTGGTTAAGTTATGTCATCGTTAAGAACGTTAAGTTATAAACAAATAAATAATAAACTTTTTGCCTACTTAACTCTATGAGTTTTAACTTTTAAGTTAATCTAGAGAAAAATACTAACTTATCTCAGTTAAAACGTATAGTTAATTATTTTTAAATAACATAACCTTCATGCAAAAGTATAATAAAATTGCTATATGTTTAAAAAAAATACGTTTTATTGGTTAGAAAGGATATGTAGAATCCAGGGGGGGGGGGTAGGGTGTTTCTATAGCCCCAACACTAATATGTGAATATTGTCAGAACTAAATTCGCTCGAATGTTGGTTCTTCGTAAAGTTGAGGAGGTAAATATTTACAAAAATAAATAATGCAGGTAAAATACTATGTGGTGGTGTTGAGGAAACGAACGTACGTAATCTGCAATGAGTTATAACACAGTTCCTTAATTTTGCACATTAGCAATCTGAATCGAGTAATATTTGTTTGTACCAAATTATGAGAAAATAATATTTTCAAGATAATCCCTTACTATTTGTATAAAATATTGACTAATGAAAAAGTTACAATATAGTATAGGTACCTATACCAGTACTATACATACACCGTAAAACGCATATCATGTCCTCTTAACATTGTCTACATCCAATTGGATACCACAATATTGATCTACCATATTTTATGCAATAAGCTTTCGAATTGGTTTTCACAGGAATTTTATAAGACCTTATTTTCCAGTCCTATTATTTTTTTTTTCGCTAAAATGTCCAAAATAAATATGAAACCAAAAAATAAAAAAACAAAATGTACACTGGTATTAATGGGTAAGTAGACAAATGTAACTCGTTTGAACATACAAGTTTAGTCTGATTAAATTACTAGCGTTGGTCACATTAATTTAAAACTTTAATAATTTGTTGTACATGGCGATAATATTGTATTTAAATATAATACCACATTTCAACCGGAAAACGATTTGGGCACACCTCAGTCGCTCAGTTCTATACCAAACAATCCGTGAACCGATTCGGACATTTCGCAACTACATCGATGATATTATTAAACAAAGCCGTCGTGTTAGATCCATACACAAATACGTACGTACAATACGGCAAAATGTGACGATCGTAAGTGGAACACGCTCGGTAATAATATTGTTTTCCACGATGGCAAAACAGAGGCACGCCGCCGCGGCACATACTGTACATGATATACGTTGGTGTTTATAGGTACCTATAATAATGTATTGCGATGAGATTTGAAATAATAATAACGACCGAACGCATATGAAAAGAAAAATAACAAACAACAATAATAATATCGATAGGTACACAATGGACGAGTTCATATAAATATACAGTCGAATTAATAGCGTGCCAATCGCAATACGTCCGAATATCGTCCCGTGCCCGTGCGAAGGAATGCGAGTGCGTACAGTATTCGACGGAACAATTGAGTGTGTGTGTGTGTGTGTGTGTGTGTGTGTGTGTGTGTGTGTGTGCACAAAATACAAAAAAAAATTTTAAAAAAACTGACAGTATAACAAAAAACAGCAGACGGAACGCAATCGTGAAAAAAACGCTGACGCTCGAGAGTCGTTTTCGCCGCCCAGCGTGCAAACGCTAATTCTACATTATTATATTGTTTGATCCGTTGGCACGAGGTCGACGTTGGTTCAACGATATTATTATCAATCGTGAGCCACAAAGTTCCTCTGCGAATCTTTCCGGATGGGACCGAAGACGACGTGGCTGCTGTTGGCGGTCACGATGACGCTGTTGCCCGGCACGCTGTCGGGGACGATCTCGGCGGGACCGCGACGACGAAACGCGGACGGTGGCGGTGGCGACCAATCCGATGGCGACAACGACGACGACAACTCTTACGGCGGTGAGTGCGTTTGTCGGTTTTTTTTTCATATTCTTGTTGGGTATACACTTACCTATACCAATGGTTTTCGACGGACGACTCTTGCTCGAATACCAATAGCATCAAATAGTAAACACTGCACGTCTGCACGTCATCTATACACAGGTATTTGAGTGAGTACCCTGCACATTGTCAAATGGAAATTAGTGATAACCACGCCTATATTAATTAGTTTGCTAATTGACAAGAAAAAAATGGTTTTTAAAATTTGTCTCAAATACTTTTTTTAAGTACTTTTTTTCAAAACTGACCAGCCGAAATCTGATATGATGTAATAATAATATAATTATATAACGCTTCAAACTGCAGGAAAGTGCAGGATCAGGCGGGTGGCATGAGGTAAATCGAAGCATTAGCTGAGTATGACGTATTCTCGAGGGCCTCGGATTTAAAGCCTAGTTATGTATTATTTATCTAGACGGACACAAAGTAATTAAAAATGTAATAAATATCCACTTCGGACACGGTTTATAAATTATCACGATTTATATTCTGCAATTATTATTTGTACATACGAATATTGTAACAAAATAGCTATAAATGCAGAGCCCCAGAAGTTATCAATATTTTTAAAATAGATGTGCTTCGTCCTATTCAGCTCGTCTGTTCTAACTAGTTCTTTTTAATTTTTCGTATACATTTTTTAGACATTTGTCCCTAGAGAATACAATATGAATGCATTATACATTATTATTTATTTTAGATGTGAGAATGGTGCTTGCGATGTATTTCATCATTTTTAACTTTTACCTATTCCTATAGTATTTACCATATTATAATGTTCAGCAGTTAGGTTCTTTTAGTCAATTAATATATTAAAAAGTATTGAATAAATAAATAATAGTTATTTTGAGAGAATTAGGCCCCAAGTGCATTTTTCATGTAAGAGGCCTCTGATTAAGTCCAATTCACTCCAATTGCATGTGACTTAGATCTAATACTTCTTACCTCTCGGTATACCTATACTTTAAAATATCGTTATACCTATATGAATTATTCTACCCATGCAGTGCAATAATATACCCGAATAAAAATTCTACGATAACTCGAAAACTTTTTGAAAAACGGAATGCACGAAAAAAAAATATTATCCTTTATGCGTAGGTCCATCGCATAACCAAGAAATACTACAAATCTTATCGACCATTTACACAGAAATACATATTTTCCTACTTCTAAAATATTAAATGGACTAAAGTTATATCGTTGATTTTTCTTTTGATAATTAATTATAATTTAATGAATATTAATTTATTGATTAATTTATTAAATTTTATAATACTTGATTTAAAAAATGATCGATCAGTGACTCCTATAATACATTAATACATGATGTGTAATATAATAAAATAGGTTTCGCGTATTTGCTATTCGTAACCTCACCTATAGGCTATAATTGCCAACTATATTACATTAATATCCAGTTTGGAATTTCTCAATCAAATTTATAATATTCTAAAACTTAGTGATTTGACGTTCCGAAAACATCAACAAAAATAGTCTAGAGGCCGTAACACGATCTTGCAATCGAGACATTCCATTCTAGGCACAAGTATAAGTTAAAATCCGTTTAAAATTAGTTTCCAATTATTTTATAAAAAAAATATATGAATAATGATGACATACATCTCTCCCACAAAATTGTTTTTTGTACTTAAAAATTAAAATAAAGTTGATGTTTTAAGTGATTCAATGACACTTGATTCACTTCGAGTAACTATATATCATTATAATTTCCTACGTGTTATACTATTTATACATATATTAAGCGAGCGTCACACACGCACATAATATATTTTACACATACATTTTTTGTTATCTTTAACAATAGAGTTAATTAAGCTATAATCTAACTTAAAGGTAAAACATTATCTGAGTTTTCCCTTCGATTTTTTATAACATTTTAATTTTTGAAGCAAGTTTTGAGCATTTTTAAATCTTAAGATTTTGTGTAGGTACTCAAAGTTTGCATAAAAATAAAAATATTGTAAAAAAAACATGATAGAATTCAGATAAACGTCGTCTAAAAAATAAAACAAAAATGATTAAACACAGTATTATATTGTGCTGTAAATAAATACAATGTGATTTAAGCTAACCCACGAAGTGAATACACACGATGATTATTTATTATATTCAACTGACGAGACACTTAGAATAAGAAATCTTTCGAAATATTGAACGAGTAAAAATCTCATTTTGTTTTAATTAAACATTTGAAAAATGTCCGTGGCTTCAATAAACAACTCTTTGGTTTGTAGTCACGGATTTACCTACCTACCTAGGAATAGTTATTGTAAAATTCCCACCTCCAATCGAAATGTTTCGCTATGTCCTTGCATGTAGATTCGTACGGTTTAGTTATGACGCTTGAATTACGTGTAGTCTTTTTTCAGTAGTTACAGACACTTACAGTATACGTGTGATTATACTACAAAAATAATAACAAAGTATAATAACAATTTATTTAAATTTTTTCGACAAATCTCGAGAGCAGAAAGGGAGTGTCAGCGGATGACTGATTGGGGTTCAGCAGGAAATTGCATAAATGTATTATAGGCGCCCATCGCGTTCATAATCCTGGCTGAATGTTTAAGGTGGCTAATGGAGGGTATAAACGATGAGATTGAATGTAAAATAGAAGATCATGCGAGAGCCACGTTGCGTCGGCGGGCGAATGGATTATGATGCGGATGTTAGGTGTGGTGTGAGAAATGTTAGTTTGTTTCGTAGGGTAGAGACTTAAAGTCTTTCCAGCATTCATATGTTTTGTAAAATAGCAGCCTCAAGCAATAATCAACAGACTTTCTAAAGAAAGAAAAAATCGTCGAAAATAGCTTAACATTTTTAGTCTAATACTCTAATCATTTCGAACAATTTATTGTACATGGATAATAATAATAAAATTCAGGGAAATAAGTTTGATCTGATCATTATAGTACATATTATACATTAAATACTACAAATACACTGTCGCTAAAGGATTATGTTATGTACTTGCGAAAAAAATTAATGTAAATGTTATACATATAATATTTTATTAAATAAAAATACAACTTATACATCACGTCTATAAGTTTCTTTAAATACTATTTAATGTTAGGTGCATAATATAATTTCTTTAGCAATATAATAAGAACATTTTTGTTTCAATTTGTATTTTGTAGGGTATAAGCGGAATTCACTTATCTATTGTGGTTTCACAAGGTAATCGATAGTTTAATATATTTTAAGCTTCAACAAGATGTTTATAATCGTAAGAGGAAAATCCTAATTATAAGTTTAATCATCCAATTTTGTAAAAATTAGAACTTAAAATGTATACGAAAAAAAACTTTACAAATGTAATTTTTATTATTTTAAATATATCCAGAGAGCAATTTTTTTAATAACATTTTTAGGAAAATCGATAAAAAAATCAAATGCCTACAAACAGTCTAAAACAGATAGACATTTTGAAAAATGTTACCGACTGTTGACAATTATAATTTACACTTATTATATTATTTTGAACTATACAATATAACATAAATTGTTTGAAATTTTAACACTTTTAAATATTATACAATGTCAACACAATTTGAACTTCAATCGCTCAGAAAAAATGCACGTGGCCTTATGCCAAACTTTTTTTTTAATCCGGCATGAAAATGTATATACTCATGTGTTACATTTACATAGCACAAGGTGTAGATAACGTTATGATTTTTAACTACTGAATACACGCATCTTTGTAATTTTGACACGTTTTGTTAAAATGTAATTGTTTATAAAAAAAAACTATGATTTTATATTCTCTAAATTATTTAATTGGTAAAACTTATATTAATTTTTCAAGCGTGAAGGTACCTAAAAAGTAGGTATTGAATAATTATTATTATTTATGAAAAGTTAATCGTTTTAAATAGGTACAGGTAATAAAAAAAAATTATTTGTTTTTTAAATAAATAAATAAAGTGTTTTTATGGAGTCAGTAATTAAAAATTATTTATCGCAACAACTAATTGAACCATGACATTTCCAGTTAGATAACATTTGTTTTAATTCAAGGTACACACGCATCGGTTCGTTACACGATTAGTTTTACAAGTATAAAATTAAAATCATTGTCCTCCTGTAAGTGAATTTAATGAACTCGCTATTTAAACTGAAGTTTAATAGCACATCACAACTCACAAGTCAAACAATACAAACACATTGATTCAAGTCCAAGTGAATTTTTTATTTTAAAATGCAAAATAATATTACGAAGTACCTATCAATTAATATAATAAACAATAAGATGTAGACCATCATACACTATAATGAAGATACACTAAGATAATAACTCGAATTTCAAGGGAAATAAAAATAAATTTGACTTAATGTTTCGAGTTATATACCTCAAATACAACTTATAAATTCTTCAAGGGACAAGAAAAAATGCACGTTTTAAAGGTTTTTGAATGATTGTAAGTCGACTGTACATATTTTAATATCAATGAGTATAATGTGAGTATATTATACAAAATATGCTCAATCAATAGTGATGATATGTATAGAAAATGTACTGAAACCCAACTAATCTGTGCATTTAATTTTTGTATAATATGACTTATCAAATTGTTTCGTCAATTTTTGGAGCTATTAATTTACAACTAAATTACAAAATCAATTTAATGATCTTTCTATGTATACGTATCCATTCTGTTATCAAAACTGAGAATGTATAACACTACAAAAAAACAAACTCATTTCTTGTTAACCAAATTACCTGTTCAATGTTCAGACATCATGCAAACCAAAACTACTGATTTATAGGTAAATCATGCTTTAGACAAATTAGAAACTAAACAAGTTACTCATAAGTAAAACTGTTGCCATGCATTGGAGAGTCAACAAATAACTTAGAAATTATTTATCATCATTAAAATTGAATTAAGTTGAGTACATTTCAATTAAACCAACCCTTAAGCTCACTAAGAAGATAATCGATTTTACAATTGTTCGACGGCTAAAAATATGGTCCGTTAAATATAATAATGTATTTTAAATTTAAAGAGGTCAATTATTTAATGAACAGGAACATTTAAACACCAACGGTTTCCTTATCAGATTTTTATTATAAATTTGACTACTACACCGTTTATGGTATCAATTAAACCCATCTGTAGACTTGCATATAATTATTGAACTGTAATTAATTCAAGATAATTAGACTTAGAGTAAAAAATTAACATACTATTTTTTAATTCTATATTTTATTTGAGTGGCTGTATTACTTACTAGGTGTATCGTTTATTCGTATATATTTATAGTATTTACCTATAGTTTTATTGTAATCACATTTTTTGTATAAATAATATTATTGAAAATATCTTTAACAAGTTTATATTTTAATAAGTCGAATTAAAATTGATAGACTTTTTTATCAAAACATTCAAAACTGATTAAATTACAGTCATGTTGTGGGTTTACCTTGTTAATAACTTTTCGTTTCTTTAATATGATTATATGAATAGTGTAAACGTCAACCTACATTAATATTTCAAAATAAATATGATTACATATACCCAACTATCACTAAAAAATTCATGATGCAGAGAGGGAAAAATACTAATCTGGATAATATAACAGCATAATAATGTAGCATTTTTGAATCTTAATAATACTATCAACTTTCGACCAATGTTCTAATATTAGTAATCCTAAACCAGCTTTACGTACCTCTCATAATCATGCCATGAATACGTTATCAATAGTTTTAAGCTTAAATATTCATAATATATTAATTATTAATAATGGAATATTCACAACATATTCTGAACCTAACGATCATAAAATAATTATATAATACTATACCTACATAGAATATTCCAATGAACAAACGATGAATATTCTTCTCTTATTTGATAAATAATACAGGTAGTTACAAAGACAAGCCATATCGTTAGTATTTTGACATGTTAATAATATATTAGAATTTAAAAATTTAAAATCATTAAAATCCACTTATAATCAAAACAAAACTTCTGTTTATAATGTAAGGAGTACGAAAAATAAAATTATCCATTTATATAAAACTAAATATTACAATACACATATTAAGGAAATAATCATAAATGTTAAAAAAAATTAAAATATAACATAATTAATATTAATATGATTATTTTACAACATTTTAATAACTAAAAACTTCATTAGAACGTTTTAAAATCAATTAAATTAGATGCAGAAATACAAAACGAAGTAATTTAAAAAAGTTTATAATTATTCAAGAATAATAAAATTATTTATTTGTGTTTACCTTTCAACAATATTAATAACATCAATTTTTTTTTAAATATTTGCCTACACCTTTTAATTTAATAGAATATTGATATTAATGACGTACATCATTAAAAATGAAATATCTTTGTATTAATGAAATTTAACATAAATAATGATAAGATTTTATAACAAATAAGTATAAAAGCCGGTTTTTGTCAAGTGGATGTATTAATATGTTGAGTGTTGACATTTCTTTATTACGTTCGAAGAATGTTTGTATAACTAAAAATGTAATAATGAAATAAGATTTAATAAAAAAAAATGTAATACGAGTTCATCCATTCATTTCAGCAATGTTTGCATCCTCCACTTTGATACCTAATCAAAAAATATCAGATTTATATTTTAAATTAAACAATTTTAATATCACAAACAAATCATACTAAATCAAAAATGAGAAAAGTTATTTGCAAAACCTAAATATATATTTATTTAATATATTATTATTTTATGTAAATATGGTAAATCCATAAATATGTATAAAATTAGTATTTTTTCGTTCTTTATTATGTGGGTAAAAATTATAAGAAATAATATTACACCATTATAAATCCTATTCATTCAAGATACTCTTTCAAAAAATATTTCGATATGTGAAATTTAAAATATAAGCTGATAGTAGTATCTATTATTTTTATGTCCTAGCTGCCTTACCAAAAAATAAAAAACTATCCATTTGAATTATTTTATAAAAATTTACAAATAAGTGTAGCTTGTTTTCATAAAGGTTCCTTTTTTTATACAAATTCCAAGAATTGATAGACTTTGTACTCACTTTCGTCCAAAATCAAACAATGCATAAGTAGATCTTCTTTAATAGTTTTCTAAGAATATATTTCACTTTTTAATGTTTTCATCTCTTGCATATTTCAATATACAAACACACGTGTATGAACATCTTTGTCTTTCGAAATTCTGATTATACCCATTTTGTGAAAAATAAAAAAGCAAAAATTCGGCAATGTCAAAGCCAAAACTTTACCCCCCATGGGAAATTTAAATGGAAACAGTTATGTCGTTGACTTGAGACCAACCTTGGTTCGATTAAGAGTAATGCACGACGAAGTTGGCAATAAAAAAACTTCGTAAATACACCATTTTACTGAGTCTTATGATCAACTTTGTTAAAAGGGTTAAAAATATGCTTATTTATATTTAATAATAATGAGTGGTTATGCAAGGATCTTTACTGCTCTCCGGAGAGAATTTTACATATAGTTTTACATATTTCGTTAAAACGAAATTTGGAGAAAAAAAATATAACATTTTTTACCAAAAAGGGTTAAAATAATTTACCTAACATGTTTAAATTGACGTACATTAAACAAAAAAAAAATCTGATATATCTTATTTTATAAACACAATTTGTGGGGGCATTTGAATTCTTTAACGGGTACATTAAAATGTGGTTCAATAGAACATTTTAACGGAACTGCTACAAATTTAACAATTTATTTCAAAACGTTTTCGATAGATTAACTGTCTCGATTGGTACAGTATCATTCACTCCAAATAATCAAACCATACTCTAAACTACATCCGTCCTACTTTGGGTGGAGAGCTACAAATGAATTTATATTATTGAAACTAGACAATTACATTTGGCAAACCTAGCAATTTTTGGGAATTTACCTACTGTGAATGTCATGCGCGTTCATAGAAATTTTAATTATAAGAAAAACATGGTCAAATAATAACATTTATAAACAAAGAGATATCATTAATAAAATCATAAATATAACAATTAGATGTTATGCATCTGAAAACAAAATAAACTATTTGAATACATTTAATTTATTTCATCCTCATTTAGTTGTGTTCATTTAAAGTAATATTCAAAAATAATTATTTGTTTCCATTATTCCTATAGAATTTTTAGTTTTTAAATAACAAAATGTATATTAAATTTTGAAAATTAATTTTGGAAATATAAAAAACAGCAAACTACATACGGTTTACTATGTTGTAGAGTAAATTATTAATTTTGAAAAAATGATTGCATATTGTTTACAGTGCAATAAAATAACTATTGCCAATTATTAAGTCTTCATTAAGTACAACTTTGTTGGGAATAATCATTATTTTTCCATGTTAATTTTAATTGGTTAGGTTAGATATTAAATTAACTATTTATATACTTAAAGACATTTGTATGCCCCATTGGAATAATATCATATCTACTATCATGTTGTTATTATTGATAATATTATGAGCTTTTATAATAATTTCATAAACAATAATCTAATATATTACTTAATAAGCTTACAATTTATTTTTCAGAATTCGAAGAAAAGATTCTCCGGACGTTTATAGGAAAATTAATTGAAAAATACGGTACAAATATCCAGTCACCCACCAAGTCAACAAACATACAACGTATTGCAAAGAAAATTCGAACGAGCAGTTCTAAAATTCCTATCTTAGACGATGAACATATAGCGACTCTGTCAATTTATCCATTCCTTGTTAACCCGTTTTATCAACCATCCTTTTACTCAAGTTATATTCCATTACCCTATGATGCAACAACTAATCTAATTCCCGTTGGGCAAATACTGCATCAAGAAGATGAATACCACCATCGGTTTTTAGGACCTTTACATACCCGATACCCAATCGGGTATACAAACGTTCCAGGAGTTATGAGCTCAACCCTTTTAAATAATGGTCCTGAAATTAAAAAAACCACAAATGTCCAAAATTCCATTCCCCCGGATAACCAAGAAGTGATCCAAAAACATGACAAGGAATTACATTCATCTGATCAAATACTAAACCAAAATCAGGATGATTTTGATCATACTTTACCAATAGGACTTAACCTGGAAGATCCGATAAAAATGTATCAAAAAAAAGACGAAAAAATTAAACAACTAAATTCAAAAATGAATCGAAAATTACTTGACCATATTATTGTGGATGATCTTCCAAACACAATAACTGCAAATCAAAATCAAACGACTGGATCTCCAGAAATTCGAGACCTTCAACCGTCAACTACTTTTGTTGAGTTCGACACATCTATGCCATTAGATACAATTAATTTTCCAAAAACATATCTAGTTTCTCCTCTTCCACCGTTAACTATTTCGAATGAACCAAGTAAATCCGAAATATATAACAACTCAGTCTCACAGCTTTCATTAAACTCTGATGAATTTATCAAAGTAAAGCAAATTGAATTACACCGTTCTACAACAGAAGAGCCATCAACTTTGTCAAACACAGAACAACTAGTAACTACGGTCGAAACATATTTATCAAATATCACCAGTGACAAAAATCAGGAGAATACATTGACCTCTGAAAAAAGGAGCCGACCGGATGAACCACAAAATTCTCATCACTATTCTAACGACAAGTACACAACTGATATTTTAAAAAAGCCAATAATTAACATCGAAGAAATATCAATAGAAATAGCCAAAACAACACAAAACGCTGAAGTTTTCAATGCATTATCTACACTTCCAACAACAACTATGACTACAACATTTTCAACTCCATTGTATGAAAATAACGATTCCAAAATATCAAAATCCTCTATTGTAGATAGAGCCGAAACAAATATTAATGGCAAATTATATCAGACTTCAGTTAAAAAGGTAACTAATACACCTGATGACAAATTGACGAAAGTTAGTAACGAACAGGATAACATTATGGATTTGATTAATTCGTCAAGACCTCCATCTATAATATCTATAACGACTTCAGAAACGTTCACTTTGCCATACACAAAAACATCGTCTATAATATCGCAATCGTCACCAGCACACTCTAAATATTATTCTTCAACCAAATCACCAGCTCTAAACTGTACTACCAATAAGAGAAATACAATTGAACCAACAAGTGTAAGTTACACTTCATTATTACCCACAATTCTACAACCACTAAATATTACAAATAACACAACTTCAATATTAGTAGAAACTAAAACGGAACAAACTCCATTGATCACATTGAATTCCAATGAATATATCAATAACATTAAACATAGCACTAATATCTCTAGACATCATGATAAATCAACTAGATCATCTTCAACACCGACAATTCGTATTCCATCGTATGATGTTTTTAACACTGGAAAACCCATAAAAACTGTCCAAAATAATTTACCATCTGATGTAACTATATTCTCAAAGAAATACCAAAGCCAAATACCAACATCAACTGAAATATTAAATACGTACAATGACGATGCTACTAATACTTACTTCCCGGTCACAACAAAAGGAACAAAAAGAAGCACATTGAAACCAACAGCTACGTCGATAAATCAATATAACTCTGTTCAGAGAAAAACACCTCTTGATACAGTTTCAGGTTATTCAAAGTTTAGTAAAACAACGTACAATCAAGATCGGTATATGACGGAAACATCAAACACCCCACAATCTATTGACGATTCCGAACTATGGTACAATCATATGAACCCTCAAAATGCACTTAAAAAAGATGTAAATGAAGAGCAAATACACGTTTTGTTAAAAAAAATGATAAAATTACTCAAACCAGAAATCGAGAAACAAACCCTAACTAAAGAAAGTGTAGTGAGACTCGTACCACCAAGACTTGGAGATCCAGAGAAGTTTGTATACATCATATATCCATGGATACTTGATGAGGCTAAAAATATAGAAAACGAGGAACGTACAAAAATCAACGCAAATCCATTGACCACTTCTGACAAATTAAAATGATAATTTTCTTATAAAAAATGTATTTATTTTTTATTAAAAAAACATTGATAAAAATACTGTAAATTTATTTATTAAAATTATTTAAGGCTGAAATTACAAAATTTATCTTATAAAAAATATAACACATGTACCTACAGTGTATAAATATTCATTATTTTGATTTTAAGAAAGCTAGTTTTAATCATTCAGTTGACACAGAAGAGCTACTCCGCGGTAAATCCAATGAGAAGGGTTTTGATTGGTATCGAGAAACATCGATAAGACATAATTAGAAGAATGTCCCGTTGTAGACAAAACCCCTTTTCTCTCCGATGTATTATACACGGGGCATGTATATCTATTTCCTTTGATCAGCTCATCTTTTCTTGTAGGTATGAACCATACTAACGGTAACACATCCGTTAGTACTTTCGGCAATTGTTCCTCCAGAACCATCCTATAAATTACATTTAAGTATAACCTATTCAACTATTATATTTATTTAATAATATCTAAAATGACTTAATATTAATAATTTAATAATCGACTTAATACGATTATAATTCAATCGAATCGTTCTACATCACGCTACATAGTTGATTGAATATGAACGTACTTAGACATATCCCAACGAGCTCCGTCTATAAAAAGACCGTAACAATACACTCCGTCCACAGGAGGCTTATTGACTTTATCAAAGTGTTGTATATGAAAATCAAAGCACAATTGGTCTATAGGTATAGTATAACGCCGAGCAAAATTTTGCATCACCGCGGTTAGAAATGCTTGAATAAAAAATAGTCCACTGAGCCAGACATTATCGGGTATACCTTCGTCGTACCAAGTCTAAAATAATATTTAAAAAAAAACAAATTTAACTAACAAAACAAATAACAAATATTTTTCTACTTCAATATGTTAACAAGTAACTAATGTACTTAGACCATTAGACAATGTAGTAAAATAACAATGTATAGCTTAAATGTATTGTTTATAACAATGTGTAAATATATTTATGTACGTATGTAGGTATGTATGTTACGTATGTTATTTATGTATGTATGTACATGTGTGTTATATGGTACATATATAACTGAGTTTAATTCACACACGAAAAACCTCTGTTCTAACCTAAACTAACGAGAGAAATATAATAGGTGGGTAATAAAAGTATCCGGCAAGTTGCATTAAACGAATAAAAGATTATATTAAACTTTCTCATTTTATAGGTAGGTACCTAACACATACCTATTACAAGCGTTTAACTTTAATCTAAAAATATTTTACTTATCCGTCAGTTACATTCATGCATCATGTATACTGTATTGTATTTATTTTAGAACAATACCGTGCGGTTACCTACCCAGCCGTCCAGAGAAAGTTAATGTTTTGTAAACGTCTAAAGGCTTACTTTTTGTCGTTTCTTCCGTTGTCTATGGTTATACTCTGACACCAACATAATATAACAAATATAGTTTTTATCAAATTGTTTTAAATTTAAAATTAAATTTACCCATACACATTCTATTGTTCAGTACAACAACTATATTACCTTAATATTAATATTTTTTTTTTTTTATTTGAAGAAATCTACAATTTTTACATGCTTTTTGTACAATAAGTAGGTTTGATATAAGAAAAGTAAGAATAATATGAATAGTTAGATTAGGGAAGATACCCAGTGGTCACACCCAATAAATATTAATATTTTAACAAACAAAATTCTTATAATTTATCACACCATACTGCCAACAAGAATAATCTAGATTAATTGTATAGGCTATTTTAAATTTGATTAATTTTATACATGTATTGGGTAGTTATATATAATCACCCAAATACAACTAAATATCAATCAATACTCAATTTAAATGGATCATAAAAAAATGAATACCAGATATTTATAAATACCTATGTTACACATAAACTGAAATACCTAACAAGTGAAATAACTTTTGTTTTTATCAATATTTAAATTTTTCATATTTTTCAAATGTGGTTTATAGATGCTCATGCAACAAATACGGAATAAAATGTATAATTTATATTTTTTAAATATAAAAAATTAAAATTTTATATGTTATTACATTTTTTAGAAAAATTCAATATAGCCTATTTGTAAATCTTATTTTTTTTTAATGTTAATTTTCAAATAACAGTTGGTAAACTAATTTTTATTGAAGTCGATTATTTTATTTACAATTTTTTTAGTAACAATATTTTTCACGGTAAATTAATTGGATTTTTACAACATTATTTTTGAGAATTTTTAGATGTAAATAAATCTTAGATAATATATTATATATTCATATAATTGTCATACATATTTTCATACGTTTAACTTTAATGAATTTTCCATTTTTCATTTTTCATTTGTCATGTCCTTCTGTTACACATAGATATCAACATAATATTATTAAATTGTATTCATTTAAGAAATAAATATTTTTAAATTGCATAAATTATTTGGTAATTGAACTAAAACACGTCTATAAGCCGGGAATTTAGCACACTCGCAAAGTGATCTTTCCTAGCTTGATTTTTTTTCTTGGCGTTAAATAAAAAACTTGTTTTATTATTGAATATTTAATCCAATTTATTTATGAATAATGTTTTATTTGTGTTTATCATTTAAACATAATACGCGTATCGAACTATAGTATTTATCATGTTAATTGTTACGTATTTTATATTTTTATTTTTCTCCAAAGAAAATATGTAGCACCTATAGATTGAAATTCAAACAAAGAAAATATTTTTTTCAAGTGAATTATTAGAAATTAATATAGAGCATAAAATTCCATGAAATCTATTAATTTAAGAAGCACTGTGTACATTTTTCTGTCCAAAACTGTAAAATCATGTAATGTATATTATATTTTAACTTATTTTATAAATTTTTAAATTAAAACTAGAACACTCTTTAGTACATTTTATAAGAATAGGCGTGGACAGATGACACATGAGTGGAATTTAAATTGTTATGTTACCTATCTGGTTTTTTTTTCAGAAATAATTGAGGTAAATTGTAAAAAATTAAAACTATACATTATAAATTAATTGTCATTTGTTTAAAATAGTTATCTTTTCCCTTCTTTAATATTGTTATAAGCATTTAAGCTATAGACATAACGTAGCTTACTTGCAAGAAATTAAGTCGTTCAATAAAATTAGTTATATATCCTCCCAAGGACTTAAGACTTGGATAAGAAAACTTCGACCAAAATACTGGGAATTTGGCCGTGGATAACGATAGGGCCATGGTTTCCAGTTCAGGCGTCATAACAATAGCGCCTTTGATAGCTTTTATCAGGTCTTGTAAGCTCTTACGAATAACAGACAATAGTACGTTAAAACGTTCCATTTCTTGAATAAGGACCGCATTCATGGATTCTGCGTACATAACGGGATATTTTGTCGTTGCTGCTTCTAAGTCGAAATTATTCGGGAGCTTCGTAAGTATATCGGACACGGTCGTTATCAGTGCCTTTTCTGTCTTATCAGAGTCATCTGTTCCGCCACTGTATTCTATTACTGCTACAAATGATTTAAACAGTAACGTTGTGGTCTGTAAATCACGGATGATTCCTGAGTTTATATGCAACCCAAACACTTCTGGACTATGGACGACTGGAATTTCCTATGAAAAAAATGTTGAATTTTTAATTAAATATTCGTTGTTTGCTAACAAAGAGTTTATTTTAATAATATTTTTGCCTACTTCGATTTGTTTAATAAAATCATGGTAGTTGGCACGAAACGGGATTCCATACTTCTGATCAATGTCACAAAACAAATAGTACGGGTTTTCGACTACTTGTGGACAGCAAAATTTATTCAAAATCGTATTAATTGTACGCCTGTCCCAATCGTCAGTTACTCTACCACCGTAATTACATTCTCCCGTTAAGTATGTTACAGCCTCGAATGGTATTTCGTCGAATTCATTAATGTACATCTAAAAACAATTTTATTAATAACTCGAAAGATATATATTCCTTAACGGATATGCACTTGAAGTTGTTGAATAGAAATGTAATAATCGGATTCATTAAATTCATAAGGTATATTCCATCCGATGGGTCCAAATTTTCTCCGTTCTTGTACTATGGCATGGAAAAATGTAATTCCATACAATAGTTTTGTGAATGTCCGTTCCTTGCCTGGACATCCTTCAAAAAAGTTTTTATCTTTCACGGGATACGACTGATAGCTTCGAAGCATATTAGCTTGTAAGCCCGTCGGAGGCTCATTAGTCATTTTAACGCCATTCTGTAGCACGGACACCGGAAACTAAAATTAATTGTAGGCGTAACTTAAAATATTATAATATAGGCATAACGGGAATGAACCATCAACAATATTACTATTATATTACTTTAACTGAAGGATAGCTGGTCAGCCACAGTCTAAATTCACTATTCACGTTGGAAATATCAAACGAGTCGCAAATCACTTCCAACTGTCCCATCCACGAGGTAGCCAAATGACAGTTTTGTAAACATACCCAACCACCCGTTTTTTGTGCGTTTCTTATCAGCAATTCAGCTATAGGACCCTTTAATTAGTATTAGAATATTTATAATTAATTTAATATATCATTATTCATCAGTGTATTAATATTCTATTAACTTGTCCCTGGCCCAATGAAACGCTTTGAAGACTTTCCGTCTGACCCATTTTGTCTGCAAACTGCAACAAGCTTGCCATAGGATCTACCCCAGGTGAGAGTATAAATATAAGTGGACTCAGACAAATAGAGTCACCATACGATTTATTTATGTCAAATGGTGGTGGATGAATGAACTTTTCTCCTAGTTCCACTTCTATAAGTCTGGTTATAGCAGGTATAACCTTGTCAGGCCTAATTACACGTATGACGAGAATTCGTTGGAAATCGCTTAATTTATCGTACCAGGGATTAGGGAATTTTGAAATTCCATGATCAATCATATCGCAATAATTTTTCCACTCATCCACTTTGCTTATAAAATCATCTTTTATGCCTGAAAAAATCAAATCTTACAAATGCAGTACAGTAAAGCTAAAATTGTATATTCAAATCTATTTATACCATGGTATGCA